TCTTTCTTGGTTGTTGTATATAAATAAATTGTCCTCCCCTTCGTTTAGCCGCTTCCTCGGCTCCAGAAATAGTTGACGACTTTTCAGACGCTCCGCTGGCGGGTACTCGGATTAAAAAAAACACCGGGGTTGCAGCCTTTAATCTTGAACCACCTGGAAAGAATGAGCTTGGTTTGGTCGCTGCTGGCCAGCACAACTTTATGAGGTCCGTGTTCCAAGGCTTTCGATAAATTCTCTTAAGGCCTGTACATTTGTACTGTTATTGAAATAATGGATAAAAGGCGCGAGGCTCGGATCTGATCTTTCGACCGTCCTAGAAATGGCTAAACCCCAACGGCCTGTAATACGGGAATGGTGGTAAAGGCGAATTAACGGGTGACGCAATCGCAATCGTCAGTAAAATTGCTGTGAAAAATGAGTTAATGAAGTGTGCAAATAAAACTATGAATGAGCTGAAATTGAAGCGCCAATGATGCAAATACGGTAAAGATCCAACCAGCCAATCGAAATGGACAAGGCGAGGTCAACGTCATTCGGCATGGCGTGCAGTGACATCTGATGAAGTGTATAGTACTGAACTACTTCAATAGCCATATACATGTACAGGCCTGGAGAGAATTGATCGAAAGCAGACGTATGCTCGCCAAATTGCCTTTTGAATTTTTCTACGGGAATTCTCGCAATTCTAAAACTGCTGATTTGTTTTGGGTAGGCGAGATTAAGTTGAAATAGCACAACTGCAAATTGCCGAAAAGGGAAGGGGCATTCTTGTGCTCGGGCTTGGAGGTATGGTTAGTCTCAGGGTTTGAGTTAGTGTGAGGGAGAGGCTTAGGGACAGAGTGAGGGTTGGGGCTGCCCTCAGTCTAACCCAAGTCGTAAACGTAGAACTAACCCCTAACACTAACCCCCAACGCTAACCCTAACTCCAGGCCCTAATCCTAACCCCTAACCCCTAACCACCAAACCCCTAACCCAGACAACTCGAAGGTTAGAAGAAAACGACAAATACCAAGATAACGTAATTACGCATACTCAGAGTCAATCAGTAACTCAATAGTATAATGTTCAGTATGTATGACTTCACAATCAGATTTTACCGACGCCGCGGGAAGTAGATGATTATGCGGCAGTTCGGATTTGGAGGATGAAACATCAAACTTCTAGTCGGCGTCAGGGCGATAGTGGCCAGCGGGATGGGTAAATATGTGTGGATTGCTGGCCTGGTGGCGTTGGCCTATGGCAACTGCAGGGCCTGTATGAAGTTGTTCTGTATGCATAGGACTGCTTAGCGTAATCTGATTGGACAAGATCTTATTTCGTAGTCGTACCTGTTAGGGGTTAGGGTTAAGGGTTTAGCTGGGACTTACCTACTGAAGGTACGGCTACGAAACACGATCCGCCCCCTGACTGCTGCCGCCTCTGCCGTAACCAATAGACGCTACACATGTAGTCTTGGATACGTTGATCGAAACTTGTAAATCACTCCGAAGGGCTCTCTGGCGCTTACACGGCGGTCTGTGACTACCATGTGGGCGAGGTTAAAGCTTTTAATGTTCTTTACCTAATCCTTTCCAAACTATACTAGGAGAAGCTCTCTCACTTCTCAGGACAGACGCCGACTCGTGCGGCCAATATATTCAGTTCCACTGCAGCAGGTGGAGGAGTAAATACGCTTAGAGGTGGTCTGGGCCGGTATTTTTTTCATACCACCTCCTCTTAGAATGGGACTACTGGAGAGCAGTAAACGGGAGCCCGCTGCTGAAAAGGTGCTTGATACAGCTTGAGTTAGGGCCTTCTTAAAAGTTCACTTGCCGAGTCCCTGTAAGTGATAAGCCCATTAGTTGGTCACAGTGAGTTGGCTATCCGGGAAATGAAGATAGTAGTATCCCAACTGTTACAAACTAGCAAATATGAACAAAGTCGTCAGCAGGTAAAAATGCACGTGCTAATTCTTCGTCTCATTCGAAGTTGTGCCAAGTTCTTTTAATAAAACATACTGTAACAGATTAAAACAAAGCGGACATAAATGTCCCTACATTCCCTTGAAATGGGACCTAGATGAAAAGCCTTTCCTTTGCTGCCGTCAACATCGTGGACTTTGGTGGTCTTTTGACCATGTTTCTGGCATTGAATCGATCAGGGTACCCATTCTGGTGAAAGAGACTTCTGACAGTCTTAAGTCCTCTCTCCTTGCTATCAGCTGAGCAGATCCTCCTCACTTTCTGCGTCAAACAGCGGATAAGACTACATTTCAAGGTTAGCGGTGCGGAATTCCAAAAATTGGTGCATTTCTCGGACCACGTCTTCTTACGATAGACGTTTCGTCGAATACTGTTCTCTGGTCTTCTATTCAAAAGCGCGTACAGAAGGGGAAGGGAACCAGGTCGTTATTCTTCCAACGCAAATCTGATTGCGGGGTCCGCCAGATCTATATCACTCAATAGAACTACGATGTCGTTTTATTCCGGTGTAATGGCGAATACATCATCTAAGAGGCGCCCGTAGTATCTTAGACTATTAATTTTGTGACGGAAATGGAAAACTCCCAGCTTCTCCGTGATTATAGTCACCAAAAGCCGGCCACTGTGTGAGCCCATAACCACTCCGTCCATCTGTCCATACGGACTGTTGGCTCGTCCTCCCCTCACGAGCAATTACAATTACAATTACAGACACTTTATCACATTTATTAGTCTACCGGAGACCGATTAAGCCTAACATTCGCCTATTAGAGTCGAGAAGCCAGCGCGACCCCTTGTATAGGGCCGCAGAGTAAGTGAGATTTAAAAGACGGTGTTATTTACTTATTTATTTAAGGTCTATAGTTAACCTGTCGTCCTCGCTGAATCTCTACTGGCGTCTTTCTGGGTGCATAAGTGACTACTTTTCCGCTAACTACTTATTGTACGTCGGGAAAGGACGTGCTAACTGATTTAAAACGCAAACATTTAGATTCGAAGGCCTGTTGCATGTAATACCGGTTTGCCTCCGGTTTCGCCACTTTTGTTGCCTTGGAAAAGTAGCATCCGATTACTTTGTTCAACTCTTGCAACTAAATGGAAAAGTAAAAAAACATGCAAAGCAGGATTCATTAATACCGACAAATGTTGTGACGACTCGTCAACTGCGTCCTGCCGTTTTGTAACATAAATAATGAGCGGAAAGAATACAGCAGCTTGAATTCGTCCAGAAAATCAATGCAAAACACAAGGTCATGGGCTTGGGTAATGCCAGCTAATCAGCAAAATTAGTAACTTAAACACAATATAAGAAGAAGGTAAGGGGGAATGTGAAAATCAAGGAGCCAGAGATTACCACGGCAAAGTTAGTCTGACCACACGTTTCAGCTGTTAGCGTTGGTTTGGTTTCAGCCGCAGTATATAGGCCGCCTCCGAGGAACGCACGGTCCAATTTATTCGTATCCGAATAAATACTCAGAAGGATGTTTTAGGGCCGACGGAGTGATCACTATCAAGCAAGTGTTTAGTAGTGGAGGAACGCGAAATCATATTTTCTTGCTCTAGAAGCCATCTGGGCAGGTACTCAATAGACCTGGCTGCCAACTGCCTTTGCGTTCGCCCAACGTACTTGCATCAGTGTGTGCATGTGAATTCATAAACACAATTTGAAGTGGCTTGCATTGGGAAGGCATCCGTCGCCTGTGGAATTGGAAGGTGCTTAATAGGACTGTATAAGGTGAGTTCGGCCGCATTTTATGTCAGGGGTGTCAGCGGTGGGTTCACGTGATGGTCGTAGTGGTCGCTCACTTGCTTGCAGGTGAGACTACGCCTAGCGTCCATTTGCTGGCACCCAACTCTCACCTGTGGCTCCACGTAGCTGGGCTCTGCTCAGCGGCCACACCCCGGGCAACCGTCTCGACCGGCGGGCTAAACCAGGTGAGGGCGCTGTGCGCTTGTGCCGCGTGCACAGTGTTCTGCGGACTCCGCTGGATGGATGGTCGGATGAAACACTGCGCCGGCATCGTCGAGACGAGGCTCTGCCTGGTACGCCGTTGGATAACTGCTGCCGGGACGGGTCTCCGCAGCGCCTTCGCTGAGACGCGCACACCCTCGCCGACGGAGACCGCGGACTCACGGCATATGCGGTCGTTCTCCACTACGAACATAAAAGTCGTGGCCCCATAGTGGGATCGGTCGCGCCAACCAGGCACATGGGCAGCCCGATTCAGGGGCGGCACTGCCTGCCCCCATGAGGGGAAGGGCCTAGAAAAGGTGGCCTAAACATTGCTGGGTACCACGCCGT